TTATATAGGCATAAAGCTCATTCTGTCTTCCGTCTTTTTTTTTAGTAAATCGACCGACATCTTTAAGGGGTCCATTTTCGGGGAATTCCCAAAATAAACAGTTTTGGATACATCCTCAATAAGGATTACTTTCTCGATGGATTTTCCTCTCTGCGGAATTTATGCAGGATTGCTTCGCGTTTAAATAGAGATAATCAAATAAACATGGCACATTGACGCTGACTACCATTAAACATTTATTTTAGGCGACTGTCCAATTGTCGAAGATCTTGTTGCAACTAGGCGGAAATTTAAACATTTCCTTTGAACATCTTCCTTGTAATATGCACAGTAAATTAAGTGTAGATCCTACATCTCGTTTCAGGTCAGCACGTGTGATACACAATGCAAAGTCAACTTTTGTAAAATACATCCTTTCTAGTCAAGTTTTTGTTTTTGTTTTGTTTCACGTACTGCTGGATGAGTTGCTGGTTGCGCTATTCTTCGTCATGAAACGCCTTCATTTTGTGAAGTAGGCAAAAAACATTCTCAAAGTCAAAGTAGTTGCATACCTGAGGATAACGTTGCATCATCACTCACCATTATGCCTTATTTACACTTGAAATGCATGGTTATATAAAACAATGTTCCACTTGTTGTGAAAAGTAAAACAAAATTTAAGAGTGAATGATTTTTCCGGAACGTTGCTCTTGTTTCGAGATGATTTTAGCCTACTGACGATCCACGCATGTTTGTCGAAAATAAATGGATGAAAAAATAGTTTCAGAGCAAAATTCATTAATTATCAAATTGAAATCCGACGCAAATAAGTAGTATACTTAAAATTAATTTTTATTTGTACTGCGGTACGCGAGAGAGGAAAAAAAATCATACTTGACCATCAAAGTATATTTCACGGCATAGATTATCCACTATATTAATTTTGATTTTTTCAATATCACACAACTAAATCAATGTTCAACATCCTTGTTATGCATGCAATTTTGGGGGAAAAATCTAAAAATTTACCGAAAATGTAGTGAATCAATGTAAAGTATGTGCTCACTCACTGATAAAAGGATGGAGGGCATGGGGAGGGTAGGGATCATCGTAATAGCGAAGGTCGGTGCATTGGCAGAAAAGGCTACCGTAAGCAGTGGCGTGGCGTGAATTGCGATGTATCGATTGTTCTGCCATTTAAACCTATGGTAAAGAATCGATTTTTAAGGTGTTCGCTGCGAACACCCTGTTTATCGATCCTTTTCTACAGGTCTAAATGGCAGATAAATCGATACATCGCAAAGCACGCCACGCCACTGGCTACCGTGAGTCTGTTTGCGTCAATAAGGACTTGATCTCCACTTTCGAATACAATTGCATTTTCTAAAGATCTGTGAACAATATAGAATCCCTTTGGGGGCCGTTCAAGTTTTACGTGCCACACTTAGGTGGGAGGGGGGATTGAGCCAGCGTTACAGTTCGTCACAGGGGGGAGGGGGGTCAAGCCCAGCGCGTCACATAACAAATCCGAGCGGGGGGCGAACAAATTTGAGAAAAAGTCGAAAATCTCGAACTTTATCAAGCTGATTTCTCAGCGTTTTCTTGATTTATTGAAAATTAGAGGGGGGGGGGCAGGTCAGCGTTACGCAATTCAAAAGGGGGGTGTAAGGCTGTGTTATGGATACGTTTCAAGGGAGGAGGGGAAGAAAAAAATCGGATGAAATGCGCTATAAAATACTTGAACATCCTGGCTTTGGTTGATTTCTTCTGTTGATCAGTTAAGTTTTAAACTCATCGTCATTTTCTACTGATCAGTTATGAGTGAAGAACTGAGTAAACATTTTCATTTCTATGGTCTTATATGAGATTTTTCCAACAATTTTCAAAACATAGATCTCACCTCGTCTGAAAGTCGATTCATTCTTGTATACCAAGTTGCTTCTTTGAATGTGCTTGTACAGCCACACTCTCTAAAGCGTTAAACGTGCTTCAGTGTTGTTTTATCAAGTTTCATGTAGTTTTACATGAATCTTCGTCTTTTTTAAAACATTTGCTCACAAGTGTGACACTGGAGAAGCTATGTTTTTTTATCTTGATGTGTCTTCTTCGTTCCTTGAAACCCGGAAAAAGCAACGGGTTACTCTTTCCGAATACCATAGAAATTTTCGTGAAGATTGCTCATCTCTAAAAGAAATTCAATCTGTTATTTTCTCCCACTATGTTTGATTTATTGTCAAAGCAAAAATAGCTGCTAGTTTCTTCCAAAATTGAATTCAAAAGTTACTTGTCCTGATAAGTCAGATATTCCACAAGAGCAGCTACAGTTCTGTATCTTTTTATTCCTTGTTATTCCACTAATTTCAGGACTTAAAAATATAATACAACTCCTTTTCACAAAGTTGGCAACCTCTAAATATTGTCTAAATACTCAAATATTGTTCAATCACAATGAAACTCCGTCAATGCTTGTTTTCAAGAGTGTCAAACCTATAAAGTAGCAAATCCAAAGAGAGAAATCTAAAAACAGAATCCTTTCAATCCTCGTACATGCATGCGTTTTGTATCAGACGAAGAAGTGATAAAAATCCATCAGATTTTTCTCTCTTTAGTGCGCAAACTCAAATGAGCATGATATACATATCAGCAGAGCATGGGTCCTAGATTTAAATGTAACAATCAAGATTTCGTCCTCAATCATGCAATGTATCTCCAACTGCATATCTGACCGTTTGAGATTTATTAGAGAAAAAAATAATAATAATGAACTGCAATTAATTCAGCAATACATACGAGCGGGAAATGTTAAAAGAACTTATCGCGATCATATAATGAGTGAGTGGAATGCCCTCATCCTCGAAGGTTATGGACTTGATAAGTGGGGTGGGAGTGGAGAGGAGGAGGGGTGAGGGGTGGACATCACTGAAATACTCTAGCTGGTTGATGATTGGAAAAATAAGAAAAACAGAACAAACCAAATGAAGCTGTCTCCTTCCGGTATATGTTTTCAAATTGACAACGCGTGGTCGACAAGAACCACATTAAAAGCAGATGCTCTGAGAGGAGCATATCATCAATCAAATGACGATTAGATCGCAGATAGTTTTGATTTTAAAAAAAAGAAGTAGATCAGGAAATTGTGTCTAATTTGTATACAACATTTTCATTCTACCAAAGATACACATGTGGCAACGAATTATGGATTCCCCCCCCCCTCAACTTTGTGTAATCGAAGGGCAGAGGAAGAATGGCGCATGTTGCTTTACGTAATGTTCACATGTATAATTGTATATAGGTAGCTGATTTGAAAACCACCAATGTGGGTGTCCCACTAATCATCAGTCGTTGAGTTAATCACCTTACACTCTGGAACATTTCTGCGCGAAGCACCCTCAATAAATCTCGTCTAACATTACGCACTGCCAAAAGCTCTCAGGCACGAATATGTTTACATAACCTTTGAGTCCAAGGAGTGACCTGAAGTTTTTGGTGAGTTGATACACCCGTAAAGAGTTCTAAAAACATGGTTGATGTGAAAAAAGTAGGTCCGTGGTAGGTAGTGCTCTGCGTTCATTTTTTTTTAGCATTATGGGCCTGGATGTCTAACCTAAGGCTTCGACAATTGTACAACTTTTGTTGGAAATGTAAGTTCATCTCCAAACACGGAATAACACATATTAAAAAGGCCACCAAAAACGTTTAAGTGTGCGTGCTATTTCAAAAAGATCAGGACGAATTTATCTGGATCGGGAAGAGGTAGAGAATAAACACTATGAGCTACCACCGGGTGTCCCTGAGGATGGTCAGTTAGGAAAATCACATTATTTGAATGATTGCCTCCATTTGAACTGATTATACATCAACGGTTAAACTACAAAAATGCGTAACTCGGTCGCAGCGTTTCGCAATCTCCGCTATAATTTTATTTGTTAAAAAAAGACCGAACCAACATCATGGCTTGAAGTTTTCACAGAATACTCTTCATGAAGATAAGAATGATCACTGAAATTTTAAAAAAATAACGTACATAAGTTTTTCTTGTATTAAAAAAAGAATGACAGGAGGTCTCCAACGCCGCAAACCGAGATACGCGCTTCTGCAGTTTCATCATAATTGACAAATCGAATCACATTTTGAATTTTTAAACAATAGTATTGTCCTCGTTTCAAATCAAGTAAAAGCACATAGAGTAAACACTGTATCACATGTTTTCAGCTCGATCAGCAAACTATGTCCAACCATTTGTTCTTTAGTCGAACATACACTCTTTATGGCACAAAAAACACAAAAACTCGAATGGTGAAATAATTTAAGTTCCGAGTCGAGGAGAGATAAAAAGTGGCACCGTTAACCGCATGTTCCCGGGTCCGATCAGGTGAGAAATTCAGTTCATATATACGCGAGGCGCCTTCATTCGATCGAATACGCAATTTGCATGACACTGTGAATTTTCCAAGAGTAAAGAAGTGGAGGTTCTCGAGCATTGAGAAAGAAAGAGGGCCAAGGAAGAGTGGACTCACCGTGTTTACATGTGGACAGGTCCCGAGTCCGATCAGGTGAAAAATTTGGTTTATTTGTAAACGAAACGCCTTCGTTCGATGGAATACACAATTTGCATGACACTATGAATTTTCAAAGAGTAAAGAAGTGGAGGTTCTGGAACATTGGGAAGGGAAGAGTGGACTCACCATGTTTACATGTGGACGGGTCCCGAGACCGATCAGGAGAAAAATTCGTTTTATTTGTATACGAAACGCCTTCATTCGATGGAATACACAACTTGCATGACACTATGAATTTTCAAAGAGTAAAGAAGTGGAGGTTCCGGAACATTAGGAAGGGAAGAGTGGACTCACCATGTTTACATGTGGACGGGTCCCGAGTCCAATCAGGTGAAAAATTCGTTTTATTTGTATACGAAACGCCTTCATTCGATGGAATACACAATTTGCATGACACTATGAATTTTCAAAGAGTAAAGAAGTGGAGGTCCTGGAGCATTGGGAAGGGAAGAGTGGACTCACCGTGTTTACATGTGGACGGGTCGTTGATCCTCGTGGTGGCGGGGAGCGCAGACGGCAGGGCACATCGCTGGCACGAGATTACGCGAAGAGGAGGATCAGCTGACGGACCGGGTCGTGAGGCGTGAGTGTGGCGTGTGGCATCGTGCGCCTGCCGGGCGTGCAGGCCACGCTCTCGCCTCCCGCCATCCGCCATGCGCGCCGCCTCGCAATTTCCGCCACAGGCCCTGCCGCACCACCGCTCACCGCTGCCACGCACGGGTCAATTTATACTTTTTCGATATCGAGGGCGCAGATGGGTCTTAAGGTGATTCGTCCTGGATTCTGGCAGGTTGAAATGGCGTGCGATATATTGCATCGATTAAGAAAAAAATTTGAGTGGACTTTGAATTTTTAGCCGAAAAACGGACGATAGCCCCTGCGCACGAGCCTAAGAATCATGCTCAGCGAAAAACTCGAAACATTTAAAGAAATGAGGTCAGGATTTTTTACGGAAAAATCCCCCCAAAAGCCGTTTAAAAAAATATTTTTATAAATTTTTATAATTTTTATAAATATTTTTTTTATTTTGTAAGAAAAATATTTATCTAGATTTTACCATAGTCTTTTTTTGAAAATAATTCTTTTGACTCATGCAGAGGGGCTATCCGTCTTTTCTTTTATTAAAAATTCAACATTTCCCGAGATTCTTTACTTAATCGATCCGATATATCGCAAGCAACTTCGACCACGCCGCTCCAGAATCCGGGACAAATTACCTTAAGTAAAGGAGAAGGAGGGGTGAGGGGTCCATGGCAGTATCAACGCAGTCAAACCGCGCATAACAACTCATATTTATTTGAGGAGAGATCAGGATCAAGATACGGAAACATGGAGCGGAGCATTGCGAGTTCACGCCTCGCGTCATCGCGCCTTCAATTTTGCAGACGCAACACGGGCATTTATCAAGTACGAATAGTTGTATCTCTGCGCCGTCATAACGCGCGACATTTTCTTACCTCTATATCCATATTGTGCTTAATTTTGTTTGTCTTATTTGTAGTGGCGCTTCAAGAGCTGAATGAGAAACTCAGTCAAGGATTGGAAGGACTAATTATTGGGCTTCTTTTTTCAACTTTTCCCCTAATTTGAGCGACAATACAGTGGTAACGTAGACCGGAGCATTGCGCATTCACGCCTTACATCATTGCACCTCCAATTTTGCTTACGTAACATCCATCAAACACGAACAGTTGTGGCACTGCGCTGTCATCAAGACATGTTAAGGTGTCTCTTATTTCTGGAATTTTAACAAAGTTTCGGTTAAGTGTGCGAAACATATACTATGATGTGCTTTACGAATAAAAAATCATTTTGGAAAAAAAAAACCCGAAAAAAAAACAATTTTTAGAGGTGTCTCAAGAGCACAAAAGAGTACACTTCTAAAAATTAGTATTTTGGCAAGAGTTATGTTGTATCAGGTAATTTTTTTTTATGACTACCCCCAGAAACACCAAATCCGGGTTAAACTATTGACCTTACCATCGCTTCTCGGGGAATAATATGTGACCAATGAGAAGAGTGGGGACGAGAAAGCGCCAGTTCGTTACCAAAAAAGTAAAAATTTCTAAAAAAGTATTTTTTACCGTCAAAAACCTATAATAGCACGGATAATACTTCAAAAAATATCAAAATTGGTGTATTTAAATACAGTTCAATTTGACCAGACTCCGAACTTTGCATATGAAAAAGGCGTCGGGCATCTAAGGGTTAACCTTGTACATACTATTCAGGCTGTTAAATTGACATAAATTGTACGGATCTTCTCGTATAATGCGGCAATCATGCCACTCTGCATCATTATCAGATTGTCATGAAAATGTTTAAACAAAGTGTACACGAAGAAGATTGCCATGAAGTGAGATTTGACAATCCTGATGAGATGCAGAACTGACTGATTGACAATGGATAAATTTTTGCGTTCAGTCTGGCTGATACGATTCTTGAATCACTCATTCAGTGCGACGAGCGCTTCCCTCTCTTACCCATCCGTTCTTCCCTCTAAACTTGGCTGCGTGCCGTAAATATTGATGACGCCACATGTTACGAAAAGAAAACGAAGAGGGAAGTATGCTTGCGGGAAATTCATATGAGCCTGTACTTTTTGGGAGAAAATGCCGCGTGATTAATATTGCAACTCTGATTTTGTAATTCACCCAAAGAAAGCGAAATACACGCGCAAACATTTTGCATCTTTTATGGCATCTCGTGGCATGATAAAGCAAACCTGTTGCCTCCGGTCTTTCAAACATGATCCGATACGAAATCATTTGACAAATGTTTTTCATTCGAAAGCATTTTAAGCAAGAAATTGCCAAAAACAAAGAGACTTTCCCCCCTTTTAAATTCATTATGCTAGAGGATTGCAGTTCTTTTTTTAAATGTAGACCTTTACGGGGTCCAGTTTTGAAAAATTAAACGAGTGTATCATAGTTCAAAAATCTAAGGACGTCGGATTTATCTCTGCAGTATTACTTACGGATAGTCGAACAATTGCTGCAATTAACATTGAAGAGTTTTGTTAGAAAGTAGCGTTTTGAACCCATAGTAGTCATTGCGCCTAATTTGCCCGTAAAAAATTGGCCATTTTCCATATAAAAGATGAAGACTATGGTCCAAAGTGGCCACACATAAATAATTTGCGCAAGCGTAATTTTCCCTCTTAGGCAATTTCCTCGCCAATAGGCGCGGGACTGAACTATTCCAAAGTTACGGCTGCAAGTCCTGAAACTGTATTTCTTGCGTAAAACTTTCTACTTAATGCGTTGTGATACATCGAAAAATTTATTTGGCTCCTAAAAAATCTTCAATGGCACATATAAACTGAGCTTTACAAGTTTGATGACTCCTAAAACTCAAAGATGCGTGCAGATTCACTGGCTGAAAGGAGAAAGGGATATCCCTCGTAAAAATTATGAAAAAAAAACGACAACGCGGAACTTAAACGGAACCACCGCGACCCTCCCTCAACGGCCTAATCATAAGAAAATTCATTGGATTCTTGAAGAAGCCATGTAACGATTCCGAGGGGGAGGGGAGTTAAGTGGGTCAATTGCCCCAGGACAGGGTTGCTTATTGCCTGAACCTTGGGGTGATGAGTTTGAGCAAATTATGTTTTGCTGCTTCTCACCGGCTGAGGACGTGCCAAGAGCACAGCTCACTCGCACACCGGCGATGCACACTCGATTGTGGCAAAATCGATTTTAATCGATACTTCAAAGACAACCCTACGGGTCCATTATTGAATCGTTATCGAATGATTTCGATCGATAGATAGCATTGCTGAGATAGGGTCGTATCGAATAATTTCATACGATAACGATTCATTAATTGATTCGATGGCGTTTTTCGACATCCATCGAGTCAAATCGATTCATGACAGGTTTCGAGTTTTGAAGGGGCTATAGCGCTGTACCCACACGTCAAAATGGAAGCTCAAAATGAATCAATTTCAACGATAAGTGGCTCTAAGTCGGGACCGGATGCGATTGATGAGTGTTGCAACTCAAAATAGAGCGGCACTACTCTATTTTGATCAACAATCGCGAACAGATCGTATTAATCGATTCATTTTGAGCTTCCATTTTGACGCCATTTTGACAAGTGGACACAGGGCTGATATCTTTGGAAAATTATTGAATGAGTTTAAACACTCTCCTAAATTACATAACATATATATTGAATCGTCTGGAGTTACGTCTTATTTTACTTGAGGTGCGCCACTGAAGGGAAGTCATGGGTATTCTTTGGTTAGGAAAAAAAATTGGGTTTTTTTTATTTCTAATCGAATTCTCCATATCCTCAGCTGTAATTCAAGATTTTGTAATTATAAGATGATGTAAGATGTGTTTTGTAAGATGATGTAATTTTACTTGAGGTGCGTCACTGAAGGAAGGTCAGGAAAACAAATTCGGGTGTTTTTTCTAATCGAATTCTCCATAGCCTCAGCTGTAATTCAAAGATTAAGTTTGTTTGTTTTCTTAAAAAAAGGAGAAAAAAGCAAGAAAAAAGATCTGATCATCATTATAAATAAGTTCTGCAACGTTTTATGACGCACCGACGGAACGTACACCCTGATAACACCTCAAACAATTTTTTCTCAAACAATTGACCTTCAGGCACACATTTCTCAGGATTTACTGGATGAATTTTCAAAGACTTTTTTCCCCCAATTTTTTTCTCTCACTACAGACAAGACGGGTTTCTCTGATTAAAATCCTTCCTCTTCAAAAAAAAAAAAAAAAAAAAAAAAAAAAAAAACTCCGACCTCCCTCCCCATCTAGAAATTTACGTAATTTATAAGCAGCCTATCACGATCAAGTCCTTGCTTTTTCTGCCACGTATCGTAGCCGCGTTAAGGAAGAACGTTAAATTAAAATTCGAATGACGTCAAATTTCTCTCGTTGAAATATTTATTTTCGTGGAAAGTTATGTACACATCCCTTGAAATTTTTTATATACTTTAGATCAGATCACAAATTAAATCATCTGAAAAACTGGGTGGAGAATATTCACTAGTTTCATAGAAAATTCGTATTTCATCAAAGGAAATTCAACGACGTCCGAAGGCTTATACAAAGTTTTTCCCCAGAGCGGGTGGGAAATGCTCCCCTTTGCTGCATGAATGCATTTCCTTCTATTGGCGTATAATATTAAGGATAAGCGCCGCGCCCTCTTCCACCATGCAGACTCATGAATTTTACTTGATGACTGCGGGGCTTTCGGGAGGCCTATTTTAGGTCTCATAAATCAAAACTCTGAGCCTAACTGGGCATTGCATTAGCGCTTGGTGTCCAGATTCACATTAAGGTGACATTTCAACATTACGGTTTTACGACTACGCGTCGAATATGAGTCATTCACCCACGTTCTGGTAATGTGGGGAACTGTTGCTCAGCTGTCTGATACGCTAAAGCACAAAAAAGGTACCCCGGATATACGAATAAATAGGGAGGGAATTAAAACATGGGTAAACAAGGCTAAAACATTAAAAACACTAAAAGGCAGGGCGTTCCGAGCTCATTTTCAGCTGCAAAAAAACACCCCAAAAATGCTGAAAGTGAGCTGGTAACAGCTCGAAACGTCCTGCCGT